GATTAATAATCTTAATTATCAAGCATAGTGCAATAAGAAAATTAGAACAACCTTACAGTATGTCAGATAATGGAACAGAATGATCAATATATGCAGGATAGTGTAAGAAATCCGAATCCACATAAAGTGTTTCCTTAAAATAATTTGCCCTCTCACTGATGTCGAAGGTTGATGGACACTTGTCTCCCAGGATAGAACGGATTGTGTTTGAAGATTGGTGGCACTACCAGTCAACAGTCCGAAGGAACACAACAAGATGGCAGAGGGACAGGAATGGAAGGAAGTATGCAAAACAAGGATGAAGGAAAAAAATTCGGAAGAATAAACATATAAAAAACTGGATGAAATTTCTGAGGGGTCAGGTCTATATATAGACACTGACCGATCACGATGAATTGCCACCGTGACTGCACGAGAAAACTGCACGAGACATCTCTTGTTCACCTTCACGTCATTTCCTTTCTTCAGCTAAGAAAGCTTATATGATTGTAGGTGTTCTCCATTTTCAACCCTAACTTCTTGACCGTGATATTAGAGACTACATTCTTGCAGCTCCCTCCATCAGTGACCATATTACACACCTTACCGCTGCTGGTGCACTTGGTGCGGAATATATTGTGTCAGAGCCACAACTAATCATCAATGATGTCAACATTCAAAACCTTTCGAACAACCAAGGATTCACCTGAATCACCATAAATAATCTCACCTTCTTCAGGCCCTCCATTCGCCTGATCTTCTTCGTACTCATAATAGATGGGGCCTATATCATTGGTTGGAGTATCCACAAGAATAACATACTATCGGTTCGGACAATCAGTAGCAAAGTTCCCTAAACCTTAACACCTCTTCACCGCAACACCTATCTTTCCTGCTCCACCACTGATTAATCCTTCTTTGCTAGTTGTTTTAGGGTTAGAAAGAGCCTTCCTCGAATAAGTGTTAGTTGCTGAGCTCAATAACTCCTAGTTGTCAGAAAATCTAGATTGGAATTTAGAAGTACCTCTTTTTCTCTTACACTGTCCCTCTACCTTCAAAGCCAGTTGACACGCGTCCTCATATAACCAATATTGTTGTAGGTATAGGATATATGAGATCTCAGTCCGCAATCCTCATAAGTACCGAGCAATCAATTGTTCATCCTCTTCTACGATATCACAGCGCATTCAAATAAGATCAAACTTAGTGATGTAGTGTTCAACTGACAAGTTTCACTGCTCGAGATTGTTGTACTTAATAAATGCTTCTTGTAGGTAATGAATATGTAAGAATTTTTGTTGCAACAATTTCTTCATCTTATACCAACTCTTGATCTTAGGCATTCCTTCTCTGGTTCGTTGCTTCTTAACATGTTTCCATCAAATTGAGTCATGCTTCCTCAATTTGATAGCAATTAGTTTGACATGCCGGTCTTATGTCAAGTCTTTAATTTCAAAGATCATTTTGATGGTGTATAACTAGTCAAAAAACTCAACTGGATAAATGGCGCCCTCGAATTTCGGAATCTCAATCTTCAACCCAATATTGACACAAAAGGATTGATTTACAAGTCGACTTCATCCATGTCGCTACTAGTTCCATAATGGGTGTTCACTCCTTTCTAGCGCATGAGACAATATTTCAAACTCCTTTTCTTCATCATATTCGTCCAACTGCGGTAGGGCAAGTAATTGTTCGAGCTTCCGAATTTGCCTATCTTTTTTTGCCCATGTAGTGTCTCGTGAGTAGATGTGTGGTTGCTTGTCGTCGCCGTTAGGGCCATTACATGCCCTCTACCATTGCCATCTTGACCTCGCCCGTTGTTGTTCTAGTCAGCCATTTATGTGACAACAAAAGCTCTGATTTCCAAATAATGTCAAGTAGTAACCAGTTGGGTAAACAGAAAGAAAAAACAAACACAAGAATTGAGAGAAAAAGTTATTTCTCTTTTCTAAATTTTATTTAAGCAAAGATAATCAAATAACAATAGGGTTATCAAAGCCTTAAATAGGTGGAACAAAGTAAAATGAAAATAAAACTCAAAAAGAATAAAAAAATGATTATGCGCAATCAAAAAAGATAACAAATAATCATCGAACACTCAAATAAAATCAAAGAAATAACTAAAAAATAAATAACTGACAATTATTAATTGGGTTAAGTGTTTGTCATTTTAGATAACACAACTTTGTGTTATTTTTAATGAAACTACATTATTTTGATATTTTTTTTCTTTTTTATAAAATTAGAAAAAAAAATAAAAGAGAGAGAATACAAAAATAAATTAAAATGACATACAAACACTTTTTTAGTATTAAAAAGCCAATAAATTATGGTTAATTAGAAGTGTTTTCTTCAACTCACCCTCTGACCTGTTCCAAGAATTCGGTGGACGCTCACGACGAACTCGATTGATGACAAGCCCATATAGATCTTCAGCGGGCCCATCTGCAAAGCCTGAAGAACGCAACAATGAGAAAAAACAATTCTCATAACGGTTGAGAACAATTTGACTTCGTACAGTGATCGGCCATGTGGTAGGTGCAAAGGCTGAAGTTGGCATAGCGGAGTATGGCTTCGACGGCGTCGTTTCGGTCGATTCGGCCCCAAATTCCGCTAGCCTGCCACATCCCGTTAAGGACTCGGCATATGTCCATGGAATCGTTCCTGATACTCAATGTGACGCGGCGATTCTCACCCGTGGTCGTGGTGGCGCTCAAGCATACATCAGTGCACCGAACCGAGTTTGTGCTGATACCTCACGATTACGATTGCAACTCTCTCCACTAGTTCTGGTGGAGTTGAAGCGCGTAAGGGTGCAAATTAGGAGAACCAATAATTTCTTCATTTTTTCGATTTGTTTTTGAAATGACGATAATGTCACTATTTCAAAAGTAGCGGGCCCACGTGAACAAGCCCATACCAATGACGGTTATCTTCAAATAACAACGCGAAGCTCTAAAAAGTAAAAACAGAAAGGTGTTTATTAGTCATCAGAAACTAATAAAATAAAAAATGCAAGAAATCAGAGGCTAATTTTTAGGGGTTTAGATAGGGATTTTTTACTCTCCAAAAAAATCACTTGAATGCAGACTAAAACCAAAGATTGGCGAATGAAATATCTTTTCCACACACAAAAAATATCAACTTGTCCCCATTGAAAACTATATACTAATTTATCGTTATTTAACTTGTTGACCAATAATTATTTGAGTAAGTGAATATTTACTCGAGGCTCTCTGTAAATAATCCATTAAATATCGAACAAAGGGGTTACAATGGTTAATGTGCCAATTTTTTTTTTTTTGGGAGCAATGTGCCAATTTTTATTATTATGATTAACTGTTTGTTTAATTAATTAATTTCACAAAAACTAAAAACAAAAAAAAAAATCTTGTAAACTCTTACTTATTTTTTTGTCTTTGGTTAGTCATGCATTTTATGCTAAACGAAAAATGCGGTTCATTTTTAGCTGGGACTAAGACGTATTTATATATGTGCATGATATATTGAATAAAAGATTGTTAAGAGAGACTGGTTATATTCATATATTTTTTCCAAACAGCTTCATTTTATGACTCCCTGTTGTGCTGTAGTCCACTATTCTCCTGTTGTTTCAGTTTAAAGACTCGTGAATAGATAATCTAAATCGTACTAAACGCCTCCTTTATCTAAGTTATTAGAAGCTGTCATAAATAATTAAAGAGTTTATTGTTTCTGGAGTTAGATTTTATGTTTTAGACTAAGGATAATGTGAAGAGAAGACAGAAAAAAAATATAAGTCTTATATACTTTTATTTATGTATAAAAGATAAATTTATCCTATAATATGAGAAAAAATAAACTCATAATTAAAAGTGGATAATCATTCTCTTAATTTGCTGGAAAAGAAAATCTCTCTTGCAAAAAAAAAAAAAAAAAAACTATATACTACAGGTAGTACATAATTAATAATATTAAAGTTAATTTTTTTCTCTCTCCTCATATTTTGTAGGCTGACGTAACAGAAAAAGAAAAAATAATTTTATCATATTTTATCATTATAACGATGGGTAATATTTTCCTCCTTTTACACGACACAAGCTATTTTCCTACACAAACATAAAAGTGGGCCCATCAATTCTTTTACTTTTCTTTTATTTTAAAAATAGTGGACCCCACAATTGATTATCTCTATGACATGACCTAAGAATTTTCCTACAACATAATATTAGTTTTTCCCTATAACTATAGTATATAATTTATTTTTTTTGCATGAAATAAATTTTTCCTATAACACGAGATAAAGGGATCTCATTAAAAGTACATGAATTACTTTAGCTGACTCCAGAATTTGTTTGATTCGCATGTACTGTATTATTTTAGGATGCTCATATTTTAGGGACGCGGTTCTGTCAAAATATGATAAAAAAAATTTAATGTAGTTTTAAAAGTACATGAATTACTAGTGCAGTTCATGAAAGTTTTTAAAGGAAAAGTTAACATCAACAAAAATCTGCTTGATATATACATAAAACATTGGAAAAAGTGTGTATAATTTTAAATGATGTAAAGTTGTGTCATTTTAAGTAAGAGAAAGAGATAGATAAAGAAAGAGAGAGAGTGAACAAAAAAAATATAAAGATGTGGGTCTCACCTCTTTGTGTAAGAATAAAATAACATAAGTTGTGTCATTTAAAATAACAAAGACTTTTCTCTGAAACATTCTCTCATTGAAGTTTGCAGTCTCCTCTATTTTCTTTTTCATACTTAGACGCAACAGCAAATATAATCACACAAGTTTGCTTTGAGATATATGTAATTTAAATTACTCTTTAGTTGGTAAAAGTCTAAACTATTTTTGCAATAGTACAACTAAAATCTGAAATATTTGAATAACTTCGATAAATTAAGCACTTGAAAGCTACAATTATAACGGACAACATATACTCTCGCTAACACAAGTTTAAATTCAAGGAAAATTTAAGCTTAATTAGACATAAAGCTACAATATTGGGCACTGCAGAGTACGTAACTACGCATCACTTGAAGGCATACTTGACGAAACCAGGAAAGTGGATATTCATGAAGTAGTCATCCCAATCAATCATTTTCGGGTCAAAGTAAAACATATCCATCTCTACCCCACCTTGTCTTGCCGCTAATAGCAACTTTTCTGTATTCATATTATCAAATCTGTGTCCAAAACAAGCACTCTCAGTTAATTAATTAATATTAAACAAGTGCTAACAGTATCTTATATTAGCTGATAAATAAACTTACATGCCATTAAAGAACAAGTAAGGCTTGTAAAGTTCAACCAATCGAATGACAATACGGATCTTCCTATTGAGGTCAAGACACGTTTCCTGAAAATACTGGCATAAAGCTGCATTGGCAAGTTCTAGTCCCTATTAAATGCAAACTCTATTAGCACATTGTTGAGCTCAAGTAAAAGTTCACGTGATGTTGTGAGTGAGCAGTGATATTTGCATGAATATTAGAAGGAACGTGAAGTAACCTTTAAGGGAAGCTGGTAGCGAATGAACATGTATCTGCGGAAGCTAGCCATGTTGCTCAACATGGTAACTTTGCAAACCTTGACGGGCTTTCCATCCTTGTTTATCCAAGGTTTTGCCGTGAAATATCTGAAGCAGTAGTCATGGAGATTAAGGTATCTAACTGGATTTCTAACAGAGGAACCCACATGATATATGATATCACTAGGTTGATTTGCATGAGCCACCATTGTCACTAGCATTGCATTCACCACCATGTCAGCTGGTATCTGCTTCAAATTAACTCAGCATTAATATATCAATTTTCAAAAAATGAATTGAATTCGCGAGCGTTGCTTAGTTGCTTTTTAAAATAGTTTGGTTTAGAATATGAGAATTGGCTAAGCACTTTCCATGCTAATTAAGAAGAAGAAAGTCTTTTAGTTAGGTACTCACCACATCAAAAACTGCCTCAAGATCCGCAAGGAAGCATGTTAATTTTCCTTTACCGTAAGCAAGAATCAAGCTGTCTATGGTTCTGTCAAAAATTCCCAAGACAAGAAAAATCTGGGTTATGTGTTTACGTTTCTAAATACCACTTTCTTGGAGAGAAAAACATAAAATGCTGGATAATGAAACTCAATGTATGGATATAATAAATGACATAAAATTTGGTGATTTACCTCACACCTTCAACCCAACCAGGGAAAGGTTCTCTGTAAGTACTAGTAACGATCGTAGGACGTACAATAACAACAGACATGTTTCCCTTCAAAGTTCCTACAAGCATTTCTCCCATTGCCTTTGTAAAGACATACGTGTTTGGCCATCCATATAAAGTTGCTCTGATAATGAATTAAGATACAACCAAACATATTCAAGTTTTGGCAATTGTTAACATATAATCCATCCAGTACAGAGTCTAATGAGTTATTATAAGTTCCACTTATCTCCATGTCCAATATTAAATTGAAAACTCGGTCACATGTTAGTTTATTATTTGAAATTCGTAGTTTCAATTATTCTTTTCTGTTCCTAACAAAATTGATTTTTGTGGGTAGTATCTTCTATTACTTGATACTTTGTGAATAAATGAGTTGATGGTAGGGAAGTTTGCATTGTGGAGGAATATGAAGGTGGTATCAATCAATATATATACACTTCGTAAAATGGAAGTAGAATACTTAGAAACAACCTTTCAATACCCAAGTCCTTCATGGCCACTTTAATATCATGTTCTGTGGCTCCCTCCTCTCGAAGCTGATTCAATTTCTCCTCTGCCACTTTCTTTTCCATATCAATGTCTAATCCAGGCACTCCATTTAGCGACACGCCAAAATGATATGGATCTTCTACTATGAGTCCTCCTTTCTCGCCACATACATAAGCTGCAAAGGCATGGCATTAAGGGAATTCTTGGAAACTTTACTCAAGATGTACTTGCATGGACATAAAGTGGCTATAGCAGGTACGCACACATACATGTATATAGAATTTATAAAATAAGGGAAAAGGGTTTCTTCTTCTTGTCATTTTACTTTTTCATAAAGATATGGGACTAGGGAGTGTAAATAGGCTAGGCTAGGCTTTGGCTTAAATAGGTCAGGCCTATATAAAAAATATTGAATATGGCCTGACCTATTAGCCTGTGTAGCTCCAAATTACAAGTCTGGCCTAACCTGTATTTAAAAAATAAAAGTTTTAGCCTAGACCCGTTGGCCTATTTAAGCATATTAAACATTCATCAATTAAAAGAATAGCTAAAATAATATTATTTTATTATTCAAAATTATTAAAATAATAATTTTTTTATTATATTTTAAATAAATAATATGATATAGGTCGGCCTGTAGGCTTATAGGCTCAACATGTACAAAAAAGCCTATGACCTGTTTTCTAAATAGTTTTTTTAAAAAGTCTAGGCCTGCTCTATTTTACTATTTATAATAGGCCAAGTCTGGCATAATATAGGTTAGGTCGTAGGCCCCTATAGGCCGGCCTAGCCCATTTACACCCTTATATGGGACCCACACCTTTTTTTTTGTCCACTCTCTCTTCCATGATTTATCTTTTTCTCTCACTTAAAATAACATAACTTTATATCCTTTAAAATAACATACACTTTTCCCATGTAATAAATGTAGCATAGGTCCCACATGATTGTTAGTAATTATTGTAATTGAACATTACGTCTACAAGGTGAGCCCAATATAGACGCTACTTAATTCAAGGAGAGAAATGGTTTTCTATCTGTTTCATGAGCATTATTTTTTTTTTTTTGATAACATCATGAGCATTATTTACAAGATAGTGAATACGTGATCATAACTTGTTGCAACAACCTATTGACCAAAAAGACAATGATACATGCATTTGAATACAAGAGATATTATTTGACTGGTTATTGTATACAGACAGCCATCATTATCATAAACATGTATATATATACCAACCTGTTGATACGTGGACAAGAACCTTTAGTTTAATGCATTTTTTGGCGAAGCTCAAAACATGCTTGACTCCAAATGTATTTATACCCAAAGCAACATCGTATCTGTATTTAATAACCAAAAAAGAAGATAAAAAAACAAATAACTTTAATTTATAATCATAGAGAAATTTATTTATAACTGTGAAATAACACAGACACGCTCACATGGTTCGAATATATACCTTTCCTCAAAGTTAGTTGTTGCAGCTAAATTAACTATAACATCTGTTTGATGGCAAATCTCTTCCACTATGGAGTCCTTCAAATTCAAATCCTCTAGAGAAATGTCCCCAGGCACCAGAGCCAACTTTTCTGAGACAAAGGAATTGAATTTTGTACCCAGTTTTTCCTTCAGCAACCTAAACAAGTCCTTCCCTATGATCTACATAAAAAAAACCACTCCACGTTAAATCTTGACTAGCGAGGGTGAAATTAGGGCAGTCGTTGTATGCAGTCTTATCTTTGCATATATGTAAAGAGACTGTTTCCCGGATTTAAACCTATAACCTTTCAGTCACAGAAGAATAGTTTTACCACTACTCTTATGTAGCCCCCATTAAACCCTATCATCTACATATGAAAATATAATAGCGTTCATCAGGTATCAGACACAAACTTAAAGGATGTTGTAATATTTGTATAATCACCTCAGAGTGGAAGCGTTTAGTAGCAGATTCAGTATCTGTGGCTCTCAAAAGAAGATAAAGTTTCTTCACATTTGGTTGAACCCTCAGTATCTTTTCCACAAAAACTGCAAACCATACAAGTAAACACATCGTCAGTGACAATAAGCATGCTAAGAGGGAGAAAGGGAGGGAGAGACACACTTTTTGCGAGGAAGCCAGTGGCACCAGTGACTAAAATAGTCTTGTCGTGAAGGAAGTGCATTATGCTTCCCAATTCCATTGTAAATGAATTAAGAGAGGGGACAAAAATTTCAAAATGGATCTTTAGATGTTGGCGAAATGTAATGTTCATAGGGTCTATATATACTAAAAAGAAAACATCGAATGAGAATGCAAGTGCTTGTTATGGCACAGACATTGGTCCAAACTATGAAGTGTGAATGTCAAGCATGCTCTCTGCTCCGCACATGTTAATAACAACACATTATACAGGTCAAAATCGGTGACATGCCACACTATTCAACGAAGATAGCCCAACATTCAGCCTAACCGTAACTACCACATTAACTATTTTTTGGATTTCTCCACCTATTCTTTAAAAAATCAGAATAATCCAATTCAAGATTTATCGTATATATATTCATATAAACTGCAAATATTGCCGCTTAATTAATAACTAGTTCCAGCACCACGGCTTGGGATTTCTAAGATTCTTAAGAACGCTATTAGTATTGAAAGTGGTGGATTTATGTTGAGGATAAGTTTTCTAATGGTTTTATTTTATTTCTTTGTTTGAGGTTACCTTTTTTTGAAAAACATATGCGGAGTTTCTTATGTATATGATATAATTCTAAATTCACTCCAAGTTTTAAGAAGTCGTACTCATAACTTACGAGGATTTTTTTTAGTAAAATAATTGACACCAAACATAAATTATGCACGACATGACTTACTGCATTTTTTTTTGTCCCCAACTTTTTCTTTGACCGCAGAAGAAAAGAAATTTTATACAGCAGCCAATAATTATATATTACAGGTAATATATAGTTGTAATATTAAAATTATTTTTTTTTTCTCTGTCATATCAAATGACAACCTTATGAGGAGAGAAATATTTTTTTTTTAAATTACAATTATATACTAACTGCACAAAATTTCTTTTGCAATGAAAAGATAAGTTCATTTACTATTTTTTTATGAGAAAAAGTTTTCACCTTTTAAATGACACAAGGTTTTGTCTTTTTAGCATTATAACTATAAACTAAGAATAATACATAATTATAATATTTGTAAAGAATCAATTCAATTAAAAAAATTTAAGCTTTTAAGCGAAGGCCTCTTTAATAATTTTATATATCTCTAATATGCCTCTTCACACGAGAGTTCATTGGACTTAAAGGGTAGACAATGCATAAACTTACCTACCTGTGCTAAGAAATTCTACAAGAAAATATGGGGGCAAGAAGCCTATATGCGATGTATAGACTACTTTTAAACCATGATATGTTTGCTTATTTAAACATATTTTTAGTTTGGGGACACCAGACATTAATATTATGTAAAGAATTAATTTAACCCAAAAACTTAAGTTTTTAAGTGAATGTCTCTTTAATGATTTTATATATCTCTAATAATATTAAAGTTATACTTTTTTTTCTCTTCACAAGTTGTCTGTTGATGTGGAGAGTGAAATAAGTACAACTTTAATATTATAATTATATATTATCCGTAATATATAGTTATACTGCTAAAAGGACATAATCATATGTTCTTTAAAATGACACACTCTAAACTCTTTTTTTATATAATAAACTGTAAAATTGTGTCTCTTATTCATTTTCTTATCCTAATTTGTGGTTATACAACTTCATTAGGGTTAAGAGGCCTAATGAATTGATTAATTTTATATAATCTGGTTACCTAACACGTGCAGCGTCTCCCTTTAACATAGAAGAAAGTAGTTTTTAGAATATTTCCAAAATTGAAGAGTCATTCTCAATTGTCCAATAATCGTGTTAACGTTTAATAAAATATCCAGCACTATCTTTTTGAAATAATGTATAATTATTATGGGATGATTGGACCCATAAATCATTTTCCCCCTTCTTTTAAGTGGACAGCAAAATTAAGGTCACCGTCGCCCGGCATTTCACGGTCACGACCATGCCTTAATTGATTGAGCTACTTCATATTTTATTATAAAAAAATTGGCTGTGAGCTTTCAACTTTAAGAAATTAATGTTAAAACAAATATGTTTATAGATTATATTTGGTGTCCGTGACTTGACTTAAAAAAAATTTTAAATTTTTTTTTTAAGGCAGCGATGTATTTCAAGAATTCCTAAACTTACACCAAATTAAAAATAAAAATAAAAATTATCCGCCGTAATTACACCGTACAGGCACTTTAATGTGCGTAGCTGTGTTCGATTCCATGTAAACTTCAAAAATAAAAAAACTGCCACAATCTTGCGTATACGTATTACATTTTGCTATAGACTGTTTCTAAAAGTGAGTTTTTTGGTCTAGAAACATATTATTTGTAGGGCAAAATATTTTTATATCGGTGAAGAATAAGAAGTTTTACAATAAATTTTGATCATTGATTTATTTGATTTTAACGGCTCAAATATCTAATAAATCACAACTATTAGATATAAATAAAATCAACGATCAAGATTAAGAGTGTAACTTATATTATAATTTTATGCATATATACTAGCAAAATTTCTTATCACTATCCTAACGGCTTTGTATCACTCAAATTTTATACCTCTTTTTCAAAAAAAAAAAACTTTAAATTTTACACACCATCTTAATTAACACAAAAGGATGCAAAACTATGTTGCCTTTAGAAATTTTATTTCCATACAAAACGTTAAGGTATGTTTAGATTTTTTTTTTCCCGAACCATTAAGGTTGCAAAACTGTGTTCCCTTTTGTGGGCATTTAGCACAGGAGAACAAATTTTTAACCAGATAAATACAATTAATGGGGAAACGGTTGGAAAGTATAATTAGTAGAATTTTTTAAAAAAAGTTGTTTGGTTGAACGGAATATAACCAAGAAAATTGATTTAAGCGTATTAAGTCTACGTTTGATTGAAAATAATTAAAATATTGCTGGGAAATATATTGAAAATCAAAAATACCCCTCATAAATTTTGAATTTGATTTGTCGATCCATTTTGTGATGGTTCTGTTTTTCATGGTTGGGGGTGGGGAAAATTATTTGATTTTTTTTTTTTTTTGGTAAATAAGTTTGAAATGGTTGAAACCTTGAAGTTTTGCACAAAATAAAAATTGTAACATTTTCGTAGTTTTTTTTTTGTTACTCAAAATGAGAAAAAAGGAAGTGGTGCTACCTATATGCAAAAAAGAAGTGGTTGAGGGCATTTCAATAACAAGGTAAATACAATATTTTCACTTATCCAGCAATATGCAAAAACCACCTCAGAGGTGATATTTCGAAACACTGTTTTTGAATACAATTTGCACACACCACTTAATTTCATGGGAAAACCACTTGCGTAGCTTAATTTTCCATACTCTTTTACTAAACATGGTTTCATGCAATTCTAACATTGATTTACCCAGCAATCTTACATGAAACCATCTACCAAACAATCCTTTAGACTTTTTTATTATTTAAATATGATGTAAATTTATCGGTACGTGCAAATAAAAAATATTAATAATCTATACCGAAGCCTATGTGGAATGTAACTGCAATCTTATTCAAAAAAGATAATAATAATAATAATAATAATAATAATTAACTACTACTAAAATCCCAGAAGTCAATTGCTTCTTTCTTAATGAAAATTCTTCACCAAGCTATGTTTGTCGCTTATTGCTTCTTGTACTTTATGGTAATGCCACTTTCTGAAAAAGTTTCGTTTACTTCCTAACCTAGATATCTTCAGGGGATATTTGGTAGAGGAGAAATTTTTTTTTTATCCGGAAATCTCGATTTTTAAAAATATAACTTTTACATTTAAATTACGATAATATCTGAAAATTAAAAATTTAAAAAAATTTAATTTTCCGAAAATCCAAAAGAATATCGCGTACCAAATGGCCCAGAAGAAAACACAGATGGAAAACTGATATTGTTTTCATTCAAGAAAATGTGTTTTCGCCGGTTGCATTTGGTTTATGGCAACAAGAAAGAGACCTTTCTCGTAAGGTTGTGACTAATTTCATTTTTTTTAATCGATCTTACGAAGAATTCTCGCTACTTTTTAGTGTGAACTTAATATTTTATTTGAAGTACTGAAATTTTATCCTTCTTCACAAATTTTTTTTTTAAGGAGATAGGATGTTTTAACATTATTGTCAAATTTTGAAATTTGATATCAAATCTTAAGTGTTGATTTCTGTTTATCATTTATTAGAAATTAATAATTAATTAATAAATTTGATTTTCAATAAATAATACCCGTTAATTGACAAAAATTAATAATTAAAATTTGATATTAAATTTTAAATTTTGACACCGATATTAAAGTAACATTCTCCTTTTTTAAGATTATGTTCCACTCAAGTTATCTTATACCTACTCTCAGAAGTCTTTAGAAAAATAACATGGTGAAGCGATCATAAAGAAGACACATTGATAGCATATTTAAAAACGTAAAGCTTTCAACAAAATATAAAATAAAAAAGTAAAGCCAATCACATCACTTGAGGTTGATTTGATAATATATGGCACTTGTTAATTAATATATGGATTTAATATTTTAGTAGATAAATTTATCTCCTTGAACCCTTAATATACACACATATATATAGAATATAAAGTTTCAACCACATTTCAATTGGACTCCACTCTTCTACAAGCCTCTAATAATTTTCTTGTTAACCTATATATTTTGATTTGATAAGCAGACAAAGAATCTGAGATCATAATTGAGACAAGTAAGTCTCTGCTATTTTTATAACTTTTGATTCTTTGACTACATATAAGATTAATTTCGAGTTGAAATTTAGTCACAATCAAAGCTTTTCAACTCTTCTAAAAATGTATTTGGCGATAATTAAACTCAGATTCTCTCCCTACCTATTTAGTTTGTATCGTCAACTGAGCTACATTCATTAGGTTTTATATATTTTTTAACCAATATATCCTCATGGATAAAACTATTTACTAAACTATAACCTCCGTAAGTTATTTACCAAAATTTTCCTATTTAAGCCACGCTAATTTTTTTTTTTCAGTTACTTGTAGATGTCGGTTAATAGGATGTAGCATTTTTTACCATGTTTAGCACCTTTTAAA